GGGATCTCGTCCTCCTCCCAGCCACACGGCCTCAAGCCTGAGCTGGGAGGGCAGATGCAGTTTGCCTCAGGTCCTCCTTACCTTTCTTTCTCCTTCTGGTTTTCTGTTCTCTCATCAGTCTCTGACAAATGTGGGTGCATGTACACGTAAGAATTTTCAGCAGCTTTACCGATTTGCTTCTCATTGCGCCACAGGAGGGCTCAGAGAGCAGTAATGCACAGTCGGCCGTTTGGGCATTGGGAAGGCTGAATGTTTAGGGAACCCCTCCACAGGTGCCTGTGGGATAACAGTCTTAGCAGACAGGAATCAGTCACTCCTGACACTGGAGCTGCCTCTCTCGCTGATGCTCTCTGCAGCACAGGCTGGTGACAAGCTTTGTGTGAGAGGTGTCAGGTCCAGCAAAAATCTCAGAGCGATTCTTTCAAGCTGCATTTTCATTTTTTTCCCTGAATGGAGGGACAGAGAGACCCTCTGGAGCTGCTCTGCTCAGGAGTGAGGGCGAGGGGCTGGGGGGCCTCTGATGGGCATGGGTTGCAGAAGGGTGGTGAGAAATGCTGAGCGCAGCACCTGTTTCTCCCCCAGGCTCTGTGCAGGTGATGCACAGAAAGGTCCAGTCGGTCCAGGCCGGAGGCAATATTACTTTTTCATGCCGGTCGGTCACGAAAGAAGATGTGCTACAGGTGACCTGGCAGAAGGAGACAAACGGGGCTGAAGAAAACATAGCGACTTACAGCATGATGAATGGCCAAAAGATAGCGAAGGGCTACGTCGGCCACGTGAGCTTTGCCCAGAGCGAGTTACAAGCCTCGGCTATCTCCCTTCATGGAGTCACCCTCCAAGATGAAGGATGCTACAAGTGCATCTTCAACACGTTCCCCTTGGGGGCTGTCACTGGCAGGATGTGTCTCAAAGTTTACGGTAAGGCATTGTAATTGTGTACGGGCTGTCATCTGAGGACCAGGTCGTTTTCCCTGGGAAAAACTTCCCCTGACCACTGGTCATTGCTAAATTGCTGCGGGAAATGTGGCTCAGCTTCCTCTCTGGTTTTACCTCTGATGGGAAACCAACATTCAGCAGTTCCATAATTCGCTTTCCCTTTAAGTCAACAACAGCGAGATCCAAAGCTGATGTGTAACCCATGACTTACTCCAAGTTTCCCTGGCCATGTGCTGTGCTGGCAGCTGGCTCAGCTGTGAACCCCATGCTCTTCTGCTTCCCTTCGCTGCTGCTCTCGCCTCCTAAGCCTGGAAATCAGGCACTTTTTTCTTACTCTGCCTTCAGTCTTAAAAATTCAAAATATTCAGAAGGCAAAGTGACCAGAGTTACCTGGGAGCTGATTTTGAAGCCACAGTAAAAATGACAGTAGTTAGGCTGGGCTCAGGAAAGGGTTGCAAAGAAAAAAAAAAAAAAAAAAGGCTGAAATAAAGTGCAGCTCGTGGGCTTTGCCACATGAATATCTCGTGCAGGTCAGCATCAGTTAGCTTCCAGAAGAGAGTTAGAACAAATTACAAGTCTAGATGGCAATACGAAGTACAAGCTGAAATATAGACAAATAGGTGAACTCAAAAGGAACACAAGTGAAAAGCTGGTTATCTTTTGAGGGAGGTTTTCTGCCAGTGTGAAAGCTGAGACATTAAACAAGCCCTGAGGACACCCTGTTGGCACCTGACTTTTTCATCGGTGACTCTGCTGTGGGGATGCTGGCCGAAGATCATGTCCCATGTGGAAAATACCAGTGTCTGGGATCTGCCGCTAGCAGCATGAACCCTGCAGAATATTTTGTTTATCCCTAGTACCCCTTGTGCTGACAAAGACACAGACACGTATGCCCCCACATGTACCTCACGTGCCAGGAGTTCCCTGTGTGGAAAAAAAAAAAAAAAAGATGACCCTGGCTTATGGGGAAAGAGGACTTAAGCAATAGGGGAAAGCAGCACAGGGAGTGGGAAATAAGAGAGAAAACCAAGCCTAGAACAAAAGTTCTTTTTTGTCTTTGTCTTGGGAAAGTTCCTAGAGCAGAAAGGAGAAATTAGGAGAAATTCACTCAATATTTCAGATATGGAGAGGAAGGTGTTCCTGAAGACACCCAGCCCTGAGTCATTCAGAGGGTAAACATTGATTATACATTACAGGAAAATATGGAAGCACCTTGCAGAAGGATCCCATTCTTGTACAGCTAAGCACAGAGTTGTATCTGGTTTGATGGTTTGTTTTTTTTTTTTTATCCAAGTGGGGGAAATATTTCCCCAAATCATCAGCCTTGCGGCTATGATTAATCCTTTAGCAGAGCACTAATTTAAAAAAACCCATGTTTTTCTGCTACTCCACACACTCCCATGAGCATCTCTCTCTGTGCCTGGGATGAAAACACATCAACTGCGAAGGGTTTCACTTCTGTTGTGGGCAGACACAAGACAGCTGCTCCTGCTGCCCCACCGCGGGCTTGTGGGGGTCATGGTGGCCTCCCTGAAATGTGCTTTATCATGCTGGAGGGTCACCATGAATAAACTAAGTGTTCGGCACTGTGACAGAAAATTTTTGTTCACGTACGGTGTATTTCATTGAAGCTAATTTATGCGATGCCACTTAAAAGCCACAGTCTTACTGCCTGATTCCCCAACTCATAATGATGGGAACAGCTTGCCTGAACAAGCCCAGAGGGCTCCCCGGGATGGAGTATGAAGCCAGCAAAAGTAGAAAGCCAGCAGGAGTCTCCCAAGGCTCAGGGATTCGGGACAAGGTGAGCAAGCCAGAGTCACCAGCTGAAAATGAAACGTTGCCATGTCTTCATCCTCAAGAGGGGACTGCCAGGGAGTTTACCAGCTGGTAATTGCCTGATTGCAACAGCCTTTGCAAGAGGGGCTGTTCCAGGACGGGCACTGTCGCTGCGTGATGAAGGGAATTGAAACTGCGTAAGAACTGGCTTACAACACTGTGAAAAAAGAAACAGGTATGACTGGAGGAATCTCAGACCTGCCTGGCTGAAAACAGCAAACCCAAGAAGAAGCAGAAATTTCCTACCCTGTAGCAAACCCCATTTTGGAACAGAATAGTTTTAAGTGTGCTTGGCAGGTCTCTTTTGAACAGCCTGCTCCCCTTCCCCCTCTGTTTTGCTTTGGAAATTTTTTGCCAACCTTCATCGCCACAGCAGATGAGAATGAAACCTAGGAAGGGGATTGAGTGGGCAGCTATGGAGAGAAGGGGATGTGCCACAGGAGAATGGACAAGATTTGCTGGGTCACAAAATTCCCCAGGCGTTTGCTGGGCTGTCTTGGGAGACCTTCTGCCTTCATTGCAGATGGCACCATTCGCCTGGAAGTCTTGGGCACAGCGGAGAAATGCCATCGCTATTTCTTAGGGAAACCGAGGCACGGTGTTGCTGGTGAACACCCATACGGTTGGAAAAGGCTTTCTGCCATCACAAGGCATACTGTAATTCCTCAAATTTTTTACCAGTCTCTCTGAGACCACAGTCAAGCCTTTAAACATAAAAAGCACATCATGACCTGACAGTCCAGTCCCCCTTTAATTACAGAAGGCCATTACATTACTTCACTAGAAAGTCCTGTTTTCAAACACTTGGGAACACTGCCACAGCTTGAATTTGGGAACCTTTGTGTGGCTGCTCTGCAAGAGCTACTAAAGCAAGTACTTGCGCACAGCATCTCTTGCAGGTACTTTTTCACTGGAAACAAATATTTTGATGGAAGGCAAAAGAGTTTAAAAAGTTAATTTAAGTGTATGCATCAAACATCAGCAGTAGGCACACATTAATGAGCAGCATAGGGGGACTTCACTGCAAAGGCGAGCACTTACAGGTCTTGACTGCATCTATTACAGACACCTGTAAGGGGAAGCTCGACCCTACCGATTTTTTTCCGCGTGACAATCCTTCCTTGGGGTCCAGTGTGGCAGAAGAGAGGACCGCTCAGTCACGAGAAGAGCAAAAGTGGAGTGCATGTGTTTCTGCAAAGATACTGAGCAATTTTTCTCATCCCCTCTGGAAGCGCCTGTGACAGCTTTTCCTTACTGCTTTTAGATGTTGCAGCCTAATATTTGAAGCGAGTGCTGTGGGTGGATATGTTATTTTTATGCATCCTGTGAGCGAAAGAAGAAGTTCAGAGATCATTTATTAATCAAAACATAAACTGCTTGTGACACTTGTCTTTTCATACATGGGAGATTTTGAGAACTTCCAGCTGAAATCCCCTCACGCGCTGCTTTTTGTTCACAAAGCAACACTAGTGCGTTTCATCAGCTCTGTTTGCTTTGAGTTTCTGTCTATGGGTGATGCAAAAAATGAGAAATACCCACCTTTTTTTTTCTCTAGGCAGGCATTACCAGAGCAAATAAACGAGGTCTAGCCATAAAAAACCAACAAGACAAACAAAACTGATGGTATACAATATTTTGCTTCCACCCCCTGGCAGTTCCAGCTCGGAGGATCCAGACAACCTCCTGAGGTGCATCTGGAATTGTACCAGGAGGTTATAGGCACAGTGATGTATCTGGCACAAACCTTTCTCCCCTTTCACAGGATCATTCGGTGTCTTCCACACCTCATTCATTTGCAAATCTTTGTTTACCTCCGAAAAGGAAAAAGAGTATTTTTTCCTAAGAAGAAAACCAGATATTTTTTTTTTTAAAAAATAGGGTCACTAAATGATAGGGATATGATTGCTAGTGTTGGGACAAAAATTAATTTCAGCATAAATATTGCGCTGACCATTGTTATTTTTGCTGTGTAGATAGTAATATACACGTGGAATACTACTAAATATAGTAATAGATAATTTTTTAATCAGAGGGCATTCATATTAACTCAGACTTGAATGAAACTAGAATTGCCACTGCACTTAAATGGTTAAAAAAAGTAATATTCTCAAAAACAGGGACCTAGAAGTAGAGTGTGGTTTGGACCCCTATGCCAGCAGCACATGCACTGAAGTAGAAGGCAGGCTGGTGAGCTGCCACCCAGAAACCTGCGGGTTGTACTCCCAAATGGAGCTCCGTGCTTTTATAGATCTTGGCCTGAGCAAACTGAGCTAATTAGACTGGCTCTGAGCAGTGCCTTGGACTAGATGGCCTCCAGAGGTCCTTTCTGACCAAAATTATGGTATGATTTTATGGCTGAGGAATAAATAAGTTATTTTCCACAGGGAATAGACATGTCCTTATGTGTTCAGATCTCCCCTGGAGTTTTACCCAGGTTGAAAACAGCTTCCTGCACTCCTGCCCGTTTTTTATTCCCTACAAATACAGTTCGTATAAATAGGAATCAACAAGCAGGCTTCATGTGCGTAAGCAAGCATGCCTGTAGTTCATCCTTCTTGCTGGCTAAGACTAAATGTGACAGTATCTGCAAACCTTCTAGGGTTAAAGAGGAGGAGTTCAGAAGAAATGACCTTTAATGAAGGTTTTGAGGGATATCATGATGCCCCCAAAACCCATCACTAGAGGGAAGAAAGCACAAAACCTCCACAGGTGAAATCCCGTGGTGTAACCACATACAAATTCGCTATTACTGTCTTGCATAAATAGATGTGTTTACTCCACAAGCCTGCACATCTCAATAGCAATAAAGCTAATGCTGCAGATTAAATGCAGATGCATTTAAAGGAAAAGAACAAGAATTTTGACTCATCGAAGCAGTTCAGCCCTTTCAGAGAGTGGAGGACATGTGGTTTCATGGTTTCACTCCCAGTTGCTCTTTGTTTGTCCATAATCAGCACTTCTCACTTGGGATGCTGCAGCACTTCCCTTAATAACAGAATAGAAACATGGATCCTTCTACGCTCTTTGTCCTTTGTTTTCGCCAAGCTCTTCATTTCCAGACTGCTGCCTGATCACTTTGACGTTTATTTGCCACTGCTGGGGCTTTGGAGAGGAGGAGGCAAGATTAGATATCCAGGTTGTCCTCCAAGATAATGGTAAATACAGATGCTCTTTGCTCAAATGTGAGCAGAAAGTAATGGATTTTGTCACTTTGTGTTTTGCAGCCATCTCGGACCCCAAAGTGGAGGCTAAGCTTATACCCACTCCAGACAAAGCTGAGGGCTCTGAGAAAGTGGTGGGGGTGAGCTGCTCAGCAACAGGGAAACCAGCTCCAAAAATCAGCTGGCGCCTTCCCAGCATCCTGCAGCAGAAACCAAGGGAGTACCACGTCAGGCTCAGCAACCAGACCGTGACTGTCATCAGCAATTTCACCCATGCCCACTCCAAAATCCTCCAGGAGCACCCCATTGCCTGCGTGATCCAACACCCGTCTCTAAACGTGACCCTGGTCCTGCCCATGGACACCATGGCAAAGGGTCAGTATGCAACACTGCTCCTGTCCTGGAGCAGGGGGGAGACCGTGAAACACCTCCTGGGGTGGATCAGGGAATTCCTCTGAGTGTTGGGGGGCAGGTGGGGAAGGCGCCTGGAAAAGCAGCCAAGGCTGGGCTGGGGAGGGACGGAGGAGGTGCCGAGGAGCATCCAAACACCCTTAGTGATGGCATACAGTATCTTACTGCTTGCCAGGCACCCTGCATGCCATGATGTGCCCCAGCCTCCCTGCCTTTGCCAAGGACTTGCAGGGTTTCCGTGTCACATAGCCTAATGCACCAAGAGGACGTGCGGCTTTGGGTAGCCCAGAGGGGTGAGGTGCCACACGCCCAACCGTGGCATCAGACCCCCAGCACAGGTCTGCTAGCAGTGCCGCTTGTCTGCGTGCCAGCATGTGCTCCCAGTGCCCCCATCTACCCCATCTCACCCCAGGGACTGGCCAAGGAATGTCTGAAATGGGTTTGGGTTGTTTTATTTTCTTCATGCACAAACTCAGTACCTGCTGCTTCCTCCACAGGTCCCGACAGCAGTGTGTCACCAGCCGTTGTCATTGCAGTGGGCGTGCTGGTCCCCCTGACTTCCCTCCTCCTTCTCACCTGCCTCCTCCACCACTGCCTCAGGCACCTACGTGACGGGGAGAGAAACCCAGCCCAGCCATGCTGGGTAGGTCTGCTTTTCCCCAGGCTGTTTCCAGGCTCACCTACACCGGTTGTGGGGCTTGCTGCTGGGACCCAGCTCTGCCCGGCCACCCTGGAGCTGGCTGTGTGCTGCCCAGCCCAGGCTGCACCCGGGGCAGGGAGGGATGAAGAGATCAGCCCCCAGCCAGACAGCTGGGTAGCAGCACGCTGGGAAGGGGAAACCTGAAGGTGCTTAGCCAGGCCTAGAGGTGCCCGGCAGTGACGACAGCTAGAAAACATTCGCTTTCTCAATGACAAGACATGCTGCAGGGAAAGTGTCGCTCTGTTGCTATACGTTTCTGCACAAAAGAGTTGTGCAAGGAGTGGCCGTACCCTTGCACTGTTCTTCTGCATCTAAATCACCTCCCTCCTTCCCAGCCAGTGCAGCTCGTGGAGGAAGCAGCTTCGAGGACATGTCTCAAACAAAATGGGGTCTGTAGAG